GGTTTTCCTCTTGTATGTAATGTCCGTGGGTGGGAATAGTGGCGGTTTAGGCCCCGAGAAGGGTCTACGCCTGAACCAGACGCCTGCCTTACTGTCATCAGCCCACCTTTCGGCGTATTTTTGGAAAAACTCCCTACTATGACACAATGGCCCATTCACCAGTTTCTAAATGGGAGGACTCCTTGTTTTGGAAAAGCGTGGAAGAATATCCCTTTGACCTTTACCTCTGCTAAATGTGTTTGTGAAAGGGAATTTCTCCAGCCATTATATCCTGTTTACTATTTTCTTCCCTCCACAGGTGCAAAAAATTGGGAGTTCCCATTGAGAAGATCTACAACAAAACACAGCGAGAAAAGTTTGCCTGGGCTATCGACATGACAGATGAGGACTTTGAGTTTTAAAGCTTTTATTTTATTGTTGTTATTTTGATGAATTGTTTATCAAGGTGATTTAGCACAAGGTAAAAAATGCAGAGCAAGCCAGTAGTTTCTCTCAAAATGAGGGTCTACATCAGTTCAGTGGTTATTTGTTTAACCCAAACTGCCTTTTTGAAAACAGAAGAGGGCCTGATACTGAGCCTTGCTGAACACCATGTCTTTATTCAAGAAAGGCTGTAATTGTTTCATATCATGCCTTGATTGTTAGTATCCTTTGGTTTTAGCCTTCAGATTTATTGATGAATTGTATATTTTCATAGAAAAAATCATGAAATACTGCAACCCCTGCGATCCGTAAATGAAAAATTGTGTATAAAATTGAGTACAAATTTTTTTTAGCTGGCATACACAAAGAAAAGCAAACAGAGGCATTAATGTCATGATGAGGCAATGCAACAAAATGCGAATATAGTCTTTTTCTTTTTTTTATGTTTCTATCAGGGATGTACTTTTTTTTTTTAATGTGTGCAAAGAAATGTATTTTATCAAAAGAATATGATTTTAAGTATAGCCATTATTCCTGTGTATCCTGTTTAGCATTTCTTTTTATTATGAAATTAAATTTCTGTGCATTTGCTGTGGTATAACAGTTTCTCACGAAAGTAAATTATTATGTTGCACAGCACTAGTTTATATGAAAGCTTGATTATTCCAGTTGGTAACTCCTTAAACTATGAATCCATAAATGAAAAAGTCCATCATATGCACTGTCACTAGAAAAATATGATGTATCTGTTGTATTAATAGAAATCTATTAGGTCATTTACTTTTTAATTTGAAGTCTTGTAAGGCCCTGTGCGCAGTTTTTAAAAAGAGCATAGATATGAGAAGCAGTTAGTCTTTTTTAACATTTTATCCATCTTTCACCCAAGTTCACAGTCGTGTTTTATTTTAAAAAGTAAGAAGAAACTTATCTTAAATAATTTTTTTTTATACCAACCGAGGAAAGGGCCGTTTCTTTTTTGTATATTTTAAATGGTTATAAATTACACTGAAGTCATATGGTACCTGGTTAGCGCTCAGACATTGATATAAATGTTATATGCGAGATTAATAACATCATTAAAGACACCTTCATTTTTCTGTAATTTATTGGGCAGTATAACAATGTAAGCTTGAATGTTGATTTTGCTTTGCGTTATTGTAGTAGGACATTATCAGGTTACACAGTCCTTTTGTGAAGGTTATGTATTCAGTGTAATTATTGACAGTTTAACCGTACATTAACGCTTAGTGTAAGCCAAGTTTAGTTTAAGACTGATTTATATAGACAGTAATTTAATGACAGAGAAATGTGTATGTAATTGAAATGATATTGGGTCTTGAATGCGGGAAACTGAAGTGAATGAAAATACAATGCTCGGTTACTTGGTATGAGACAATATTTGAGAAAAAAAGACTTGCGCCCTATGTAGCAAAAGGCCAGATTTACACATATCTGCAGCATATAGAAATATGGAATCATTTCATCTGAAGAGGGTTTTTCTTGTTAAAATGTTTGTTTATTAACATTATATGCCTAGAATAAAGGTTTTAAGGTCGTACCCACATCCTCCGTGTCTTTTGCTTTGAGCGTGTGACTGCGCCGTGAAGGCAGCGATCTGCACCTGCGGCTTTGGTTTATAACCTCTTCCTATGAGGGCATTGTGCAATTGCATGCATGTCTGCTGTCACATTATGCTGCACGCCAGTTTTGATTTGAAGAATATGCTGTTCTCTTGAGAAAGCGTCAAAAAATAAGGTCACGCTTTTAAAGGAGTTTCAGAATCAGAAATCTATTGACCAAGAGAAACTTACAAGGATACAGCTCACCCAGAATGAATGTTTAATGATAAATACGTTGAAGAGTATAGTAGATAGGCTGTCAAGTCATGAAGTGAGCCGCTGTTTTCTCACAGAAGTCAGCATAATGAAGTCTCCTCCATTGACATCTGGTAAAACAAAAAGTTACCCTGTTGTCACTTGAGTGGCGGGTGTTAATCTCAAACCCTGATTTTATATACTGTAAATATGAAAATGAGTAGTCGGTGCTGTGTGCGCACAGAAGTAGACTGTATTGTGTACTGTATGCACATATGTAAGGTGCAAGAGCAACTGAGCCGTTCTGATGTGTAAAGTGCAACCGCTGCAACGTCACCTCTTTTTCTTTTGCTAGTATGTGCAGTATATAGAGCACACTGTATGACAATACAATGTGCCACGATGCAATGCACGTAGCTAGATTTTCATTTCCAGTGTAACAAGTGAACCAGAGGTAGTTTTAAATATCTCGATCAGACTACCACCAAAATGAAAAAGTCAAAAATGCTAAATAACTTATTTTAATGTCTTAGCTCGGTACACAGCCACTGTTTCACATCAGAAAAAAAATAATTCTGCAGTACACAGTACATACTGAACAGTTTTACATACTTTTTTACTCAAAATAGTAGGCAGCACGTGGTATATAGTGTGCAGTATATAGTAAGCAGTACACTAGTGTTGTATTCCTAACATACGCTGTGTCTGAATATGCCTACTTCCATACTAAATAGTATGTCAAAAACATTATGCCAAAAGAGTAGTATGTCCAAATTCATAGTATCCGAAAAACAGGTGTTGTACGTCCAAATTTAATTCACACAACTCATATTCATAATATACAGAACATACTTTTTAACGGTTGTGAAGTAAATTTGAAACTGTATGTAGTATCTACAAGGCAGTGTGGGATTTCAGACAGTCACCTAGTTCATACAGAAATACAAATCAAATACTGTACATATTACACACTGTATAATGCAGCAGGCATAAGTGTGGTATTACAGTAGTGTGCAATTCCAAACAGCCATAATGCGTACTGTTTATGCGTACACAGTGCATACTGAAGAGTAAGCAACTAGTATTTTATTCTGAGCACAGCCATAGTGAATACTGTTTCATGTATTTATTTGAAATAAAATAGTAGGCAGTACACAGTGCATACTGTGCAGTATGTAGTAAGCAGTACACTAGTAATGTGTTCAGAGTGTTGCCTAGGTCACCTGGGTGTCCACACCAAAATGAAAAAGTCAAAAATGCTAAATAACTTATTTTAATGTCTTAGCTCGGTACACAGCCACTGTTTCACATCAGAAAAAAAATAATTCTGCAGTACACAGTACATACTGAACAGTTTTACATACTTTTTTACACAAAATAGTAGGCAGTACGTGGTATATAGTGTGCAGTATATAGTAAGCAGTACACTAGTGTTGTATTCCTAACATACGCTGTGTCTGAATATGCCTACTTCCATACTAAATAGTATGTCAAAAACATTATGCCAAAAGAGTAGTATGTCCAAATTCATAGTATCCGAAAAACAGGTGTTGTACGTCCAAATTTAATTCACACAACTCATATTCATAATATACAGAACATACTTTTTAACGGTTGTGAAGTAAATTTGAAACTGTATGTAGTATCTACAAGGCAGTATGTGATTTCAGACAGTCACCTAGTTCATACAGAAATACAAATCAAATACTGTACATATTACACACTGTATAATGCAGCAGGCATAAGTGTGGTATTACAGTAGTGTGCAATTCCAAACAGCCATAATGCGTACTGTTTATGCGTACACAGTGCATACTGAAGAGTAAGCAACTAGTATTTTATTCTGAGCACAGCCATAGTGAATACTGTTTCATGTATTTATTTGAAATAAAATAGTAGGCAGTACACAGTGCATACTGTGCAGTATGTAGTAAGCAGTACACTAGTAATGTGTTCAGAGTGTTGCCTAGGTCACCTGGGTGTCCAGTTCATACAGAAAATTGAAATACTGTGCGTAATGAACACACTATGTATTGTAGAAGGCACACGTTTGGTATTATAGTAGTATGCTATTCCAAACAGCCATAATGTGCACTATTCACACACTTTAAGAAATAGTGTGCACTGTGCACTCACTGAACGGTAAGCAACTAGTATTCCATTCTGAACATAACCACATTTTACCGTACCATACCTTTTTACACAAAATAGTAGGCAGTACACAGTGCATACTGTGCAGTATGTAGTAAGCAGTACACTAGTAATGTGTTCAGAGTGTTGCCTAGGTCACCTGGGTGTCCAGTTCATACAGAAAATTGAAATACTGTGTGTAATGAACACACTATGTATTGTAGAAGGCACACGTTTGGTATTATAGTAGTATGCTATTCCAAACAGCCATAATGTGCACTATTCACACACTTTAAGAAATAGTGTGCACTGTGCACTCACTGAACGGTAAGCAACTAGTATTCCATTCTGAACATAACCACATTTTACCGTACCATACCTTTTTACACAAAATAGTAGGCAGTACACAGTGCATACTGTGCAGTATGTAGTAAGCAGTACACTAGTAATGTGTTCAGAATGTTGCCTATGTAGTATATGTGTATACACACACACACACTGTCCACAACAGTGAGTAGTATTGTAGTAGTACGCTCTTCCACACAGTGTCCCACACAGTGCATGCTGCGTCTGAGCGCGCTGCGTCTTTAAGAGGCCGCGCTGTGCGCTGTAGGGCTCGGCTGGTGGGGGAAGGGTCTCGCGCAACAGCTCATGGCGGAGAGCAGCTCTCTCTCTCTCGCGCTCTCGGCTCGGTCTCACCGCTCGGATCCGCTAAATCCGCGTCTGATCACGGGCGCAGGACGGCACGAGCGCTGCTGAGATCGCGGACACACTGCATGTCGAGTTTCTGCTTTTACTGAGTCCCGGAGAGCCAGCTGCGTCCAAACACGGTAAGACCAAACAGACCTGTGCTAGTATCATCAGCGTTAGGTGCGCTAGTCTTTCTGTGGCATCTCATGCATAGCCGTTCAAATCGGATCGGTGTAGTAAAACAATTTAGGAATGTGTAGATTTTTTTTTTTATCAATAAAGGATCAGTGATTTTTTTTTGTTTGCATTGGTTGCATCTGTATGAAGTGATCTTATTAATTGTGTTTAACTAAATAAGATTAGATCAACTCTATTTACACACACCCGACTTTAGATTACAGTGTATACATGAAAGAAGTGACACTTGCGATCCGTGTTGTTCATTTATATGTTATAATAATAATAATAATAATTCATGCATTTTACGCACTGATTATCAATACATATCAGACATTCAGCTATTCACCATATATTATTTCTGTAGTCTATAATCTGCCTATATGACCACCAGTAAATCCAAGTTAAATGGACACATGTGGATGCATCTTACAGCAGGCCTCTGTGTGTGTGTGTGTATGAGAGAGAGAGAGAGCGAGAGTGTGTGTGTGCGAGAGAGCGAGAGTGTGTGTGTGCGAGAGAGCGAGAGTGTGTGTGTGCGAGAGAGCGAGAGTGTGTGTGTGCGAGAGAGCGAGAGTGTGTGTGTGCGAGAGAGCGAGAGTGTGTGTGTGCGAGAGAGCGAGAGTGTGTGTGTGCGAGAGAGCGAGAGTGTGTGTGTGCGAGAGAGCGAGAGTGTGTGTGTGCGAGAGAGCGAGAGTGTGTGTGTGCGAGAGAGCGAGAGTGTGTGTGTGCGAGAGAGCGAGAGTGTGTGTGTGCGAGAGAGCGAGAGTGTGTGTGTGCGAGAGAGCGAGAGTGTGTGTGTGCGAGAGAGCGAGAGTGTGTGTGTGCGAGAGAGCGAGAGTGTGTGTGTGCGAGAGAGCGAGAGTGTGTGTGTGCGAGAGAGCGAGAGTGTGTGTGTGCGAGAGAGCGAGAGTGTGTGTGTGCGAGAGAGCGAGAGTGTGTGTGTGCGAGAGAGCGAGAGTGTGTGTGTGCGAGAGAGCGAGAGTGTGTGTGTGCGAGAGAGCGAGAGTGTGTGTGTGCGAGAGAGCGAGAGTGTGTGTGTGCGAGAGAGCGAGAGTGTGTGTGTGCGAGAGAGCGAGAGTGTGTGTGTGCGAGAGAGCGAGAGTGTGTGTGTGCGAGAGAGCGAGAGTGTGTGTGTGCGAGAGAGCGAGAGTGTGTGTGTGCGAGAGAGCGAGAGTGTGTGTGTGCGAGAGAGCGAGAGTGTGTGTGTGCGAGAGAGCGAGAGTGTGTGTGTGCGAGAGAGCGAGAGTGTGTGTGTGCGAGAGAGCGAGAGTGTGTGTGTGCGAGAGAGCGAGAGTGTGTGTGTGCGAGAGAGCGAGAGTGTGTGTGTGCGAGAGAGCGAGAGTGTGTGTGTGCGAGAGAGCGAGAGTGTGTGTGTGCGAGAGAGCGAGAGTGTGTGTGTGCGAGAGAGCGAGAGTGTGTGTGTGCGAGAGAGCGAGAGTGTGTGTGTGCGAGAGAGCGAGAGTGTGTGTGTGCGAGAGAGCGAGAGTGTGTGTGTGCGAGAGAGCGAGAGTGTGTGTGTGCGAGAGAGCGAGAGTGTGTGTGTGCGAGAGAGCGAGAGTGTGTGTGTGCGAGAGAGCGAGAGTGTGTGTGTGCGAGAGAGCGAGAGTGTGTGTGTGCGAGAGAGCGAGAGTGTGTGTGTGCGAGAGAGCGAGAGTGTGTGTGTGCGAGAGAGCGAGAGTGTGTGTGTGCGAGAGAGCGAGAGTGTGTGTGTGCGAGAGAGCGAGAGTGTGTGTGTGCGAGAGAGCGAGAGTGTGTGTGTGCGAGAGAGCGAGAGTGTGTGTGTGCGAGAGAGCGAGAGTGTGTGTGTGCGAGAGAGCGAGAGTGTGTGTGTGCGAGAGAGCGAGAGTGTGTGTGTGCGAGAGAGCGAGAGTGTGTGTGTGCGAGAGAGCGAGAGTGTGTGTGTGCGAGAGAGCGAGAGTGTGTGTGTGCGAGAGAGCGAGAGTGTGTGTGTGCGAGAGAGCGAGAGTGTGTGTGTGCGAGAGAGCGAGAGTGTGTGTGTGCGAGAGAGCGAGAGTGTGTGTGTGCGAGAGAGCGAGAGTGTGTGTGTGCGAGAGAGCGAGAGTGTGTGTGTGCGAGAGAGCGAGAGTGTGTGTGTGCGAGAGAGCGAGAGTGTGTGTGTGCGAGAGAGCGAGAGTGTGTGTGTGCGAGAGAGCGAGAGTGTGTGTGTGCGAGAGAGCGAGAGTGTGTGTGTGCGAGAGAGCGAGAGTGTGTGTGTGCGAGAGAGCGAGAGTGTGTGTGTGCGAGAGAGCGAGAGTGTGTGTGTGCGAGAGAGCGAGAGTGTGTGTGTGCGAGAGAGCGAGAGTGTGTGTGTGCGAGAGAGCGAGAGTGTGTGTGTGCGAGAGAGCGAGAGTGTGTGTGTGCGAGAGAGCGAGAGTGTGTGTGTGCGAGAGAGCGAGAGTGTGTGTGTGCGAGAGAGCGAGAGTGTGTGTGTGCGAGAGAGCGAGAGTGTGTGTGTGCGAGAGAGCGAGAGTGTGTGTGTGCGAGAGAGCGAGAGTGTGTGTGTGCGAGAGAGCGAGAGTGTGTGTGTGCGAGAGAGCGAGAGTGTGTGTGTGCGAGAGAGCGAGAGTGTGTGTGTGCGAGAGAGCGAGAGTGTGTGTGTGCGAGAGAGCGAGAGTGTGTGTGTGCGAGAGAGCGAGAGTGTGTGTGTGCGAGAGAGCGAGAGTGTGTGTGTGCGAGAGAGCGAGAGTGTGTGTGTGCGAGAGAGCGAGAGTGTGTGTGTGCGAGAGAGCGAGAGTGTGTGTGTGCGAGAGAGCGAGAGTGTGTGTGTGCGAGAGAGCGAGAGTGTGTGTGTGCGAGAGAGCGAGAGTGTGTGTGTGCGAGAGAGCGAGAGTGTGTGTGTGCGAGAGAGCGAGAGTGTGTGTGTGCGAGAGAGCGAGAGTGTGTGTGTGCGAGAGAGCGAGAGTGTGTGTGTGCGAGAGAGCGAGAGTGTGTGTGTGCGAGAGAGCGAGAGTGTGTGTGTGCGAGAGAGCGAGAGTGTGTGTGTGCGAGAGAGCGAGAGTGTGTGTGTGCGAGAGAGCGAGAGTGTGTGTGTGCGAGAGAGCGAGAGTGTGTGTGTGCGAGAGAGCGAGAGTGTGTGTGTGCGAGAGAGCGAGAGTGTGTGTGTGCGAGAGAGCGAGAGTGTGTGTGTGCGAGAGAGCGAGAGTGTGTGTGTGCGAGAGAGCGAGAGTGTGTGTGTGCGAGAGAGCGAGAGTGTGTGTGTGCGAGAGAGCGAGAGTGTGTGTGTGCGAGAGAGCGAGAGTGTGTGTGTGCGAGAGAGCGAGAGTGTGTGTGTGCGAGAGAGCGAGAGTGTGTGTGTGCGAGAGAGCGAGAGTGTGTGTGTGCGAGAGAGCGAGAGTGTGTGTGTGCGAGAGAGCGAGAGTGTGTGTGTGCGAGAGAGCGAGAGTGTGTGTGTGCGAGAGAGCGAGAGTGTGTGTGTGCGAGAGAGCGAGAGTGTGTGTGTGCGAGAGAGCGAGAGTGTGTGTGTGCGAGAGAGCGAGAGTGTGTGTGTGCGAGAGAGCGAGAGTGTGTGTGTGCGAGAGAGCGAGAGTGTGTGTGTGCGAGAGAGCGAGAGTGTGTGTGTGCGAGAGAGCGAGAGTGTGTGTGTGCGAGAGAGCGAGAGTGTGTGTGTGCGAGAGAGCGAGAGTGTGTGTGTGCGAGAGAGCGAGAGTGTGTGTGTGCGAGAGAGCGAGAGTGTGTGTGTGCGAGAGAGCGAGAGTGTGTGTGTGCGAGAGAGCGAGAGTGTGTGTGTGCGAGAGAGCGAGAGTGTGTGTGTGCGAGAGAGCGAGAGTGTGTGTGTGCGAGAGAGCGAGAGTGTGTGTGTGCGAGAGAGCGAGAGTGTGTGTGTGCGAGAGAGCGAGAGTGTGTGTGTGCGAGAGAGCGAGAGTGTGTGTGTGCGAGAGAGCGAGAGTGTGTGTGTGCGAGAGAGCGAGAGTGTGTGTGTGCGAGAGAGCGAGAGTGTGTGTGTGCGAGAGAGCGAGAGTGTGTGTGTGCGAGAGAGCGAGAGTGTGTGTGTGCGAGAGAGCGAGAGTGTGTGTGTGCGAGAGAGCGAGAGTGTGTGTGTGCGAGAGAGCGAGAGTGTGTGTGTGCGAGAGAGCGAGAGTGTGTGTGTGCGAGAGAGCGAGAGTGTGTGTGTGCGAGAGAGCGAGAGTGTGTGTGTGCGAGAGAGCGAGAGTGTGTGTGTGCGAGAGAGCGAGAGTGTGTGTGTGCGAGAGAGCGAGAGTGTGTGTGTGCGAGAGAGCGAGAGTGTGTGTGTGCGAGAGAGCGAGAGTGTGTGTGTGCGAGAGAGCGAGAGTGTGTGTGTGCGAGAGAGCGAGAGTGTGTGTGTGCGAGAGAGCGAGAGTGTGTGTGTGCGAGAGAGCGAGAGTGTGTGTGTGCGAGAGAGCGAGAGTGTGTGTGTGTGTGAGAGAGAGAGAGTGTGTGTGTGAGTGTGTTTTCATAACTGATGTAAATGCTGCATACGCTGCTGTTATGTCATAGTGGGGTTTTGTAATGTTTCTAATGCCCTTTTCTTCCTTATTTTCGTAGGTGTCCTCACCCGGCCGGGGAGGCTGTGAGTTATTGGGAAAGGAACTGAAGAACAAACAGGGGAAATGGCTGCGACTGCGGGCTTCTCCTCCAACGGACCTGTACCCTGGACGCTGAGCGACACCGAGGTGAACAGTCTGTACCGGGATCTGGAGCTGGGCACTGTACTGACGCTCTTTTACTCCAAAAAGTCCCAGAGGCCCGAGAGAAGGACGTTTCAAGTCAAGCTGGAGACCAGGCAGATTATCTGGACCAGAGGAACGGATAAAGTCGAGGGCGAGAGTAAGTTCTGCCTTGTTTCTGGGTTGGTGGATGCTAAATGAGTGCTTGGCATTATGGGTTCAGAGATGGACAGTTGGTGTGACATTGTATGACATAATTCATAACCACAGTTTTGGTTTTAAATGTGCCATTAGCTATTAATAAATATGCTTAATAAAATTCATATTTATAAAAGCATATTGTGTTTATGCTACGCACCTGCGTGAATTACACAACCCAGCACTGTCGAAGACCTTCATTCACTTATTCAGCCGTTTATTTGTAGTTTTCTTGGTGGAAAATGACTGGTGCACATTATGATTCTCAATGATTTCGTTTGGCGGACCGAATTGAATTGTGATCATGTTTGGTTACGGTAAATGCTTGTGTTTTGGGCCAGCAGAAGGTCTTGGTTGTGTGCTAACAGGTTTAACAGTAGTGTACTGCTCGTCTGGGCTCTGATGGTAGGGCAGGCCCATCTGCGGCGGGGTGTCTTACGCACAGCTGCGCTCCGGCTGCACCAGCCACACTAAACAGAAGAGAAAAAAGACACCCAGTGAGCCTCAGCGAGGTGTAATTGTGCGTCTGAAGTAGGGCTGTGCAATATATCGAAATTATCGAAATATCGCAATATGCATATCGCTACAGCTTGCAATATTTGGGGCCATGAACAAAAGGCAAAGAAAATCACTCACTGCTCTCACCTAAATAACTTTTGTAGCTAAATATAAAATCAGTGCATATTGAATTCAAAGAGTAAATACTATGCAGTGTTTTATTTTTCCTTTTTACTATTCGGTTCCTAAACTAGTGTTAAAATGACATTATGTAATGCTTGAGTAAAACACATACTGTTCACTTTCAGAAGTTGTTGTAGGGGTGCTTTCTTATTGGAATCAGAATGAGCTTTATTCACCACTTAAGTGTGCGCAAACACAAGGAATTTGTTGTGGTTTTACAGGAGCTCTTGGTACATACATGCATACAAATAACCATATATATATATGACACAAGATAGTTATAGAAGATCACAGAACTGACTCGGCATCAGCTGAGTAAAACTGTTTCATCTGAGCATGTGGCACTTTAAGCATTATCGTATCGCATATCGAATATCGCATTATTTAATGAGTTATCGCATATCGCATTTTTCTTCAAGATCGCACAGCCCTAATCTGAAGTAGGGCTGCCACTAACAACTATTTTTATTTCGATTAATCTATCGACTAATTTATTGATTAATCTAAACAATTAATCAACAATTTTACTTAAGTTAAGTTTACTATATTAAACCAAATGCAATCCAAATTTCTATAAATCCTTTTTTTTTTTTAAAGCAAAAGTAAAGTGCAACATAAAGTACAAGAAGCAAGTGTCAATCTCACAGTCCAAATCACTGAAATCAGAGTTCAGTATTATAGTGTAAGAATGACAACATGTCCACGTCTTCTAGTCTACTAATAATACAATTATAATCAAAAAACACTTTTAAATTAGTATTTACCAGAAATGTTTTTACCAGAATTTATTTAGAAGAAAAATGTAAATGTGCAGTATTTCTGAAAAAAAAAATAAAACAATAAATAAAATCAATTAATTGGAGATGCTTTTGATTATTAAAATTTAATGGAACCATTAAAATGGAATTCAGAAAATAATGGAAAACAGAATTAGGTAAAGATAAAACTGTAAAACTCAATTATTTAGACAGGCTTTTTGATGAATAAAATTTAATTTAACCATTAAAACGGAGTCTTAAAAAATTAACCGGATTTCATAGAGCCCTATAATTATTATATTTTTTTTTTGTGGTAATAAAAATAGATGTTAGTGAACAATAGCCTTTCCCTATAATAATTATTTTTATTTTTTTTGTGGTAATAAAAATAGATGTTAGTGAACAATGGCCTTTAAAATTACTTAAAATACATATATAATAGCAATGAGACAATAATAATTAGTTCAAATAAAGTATCAAGAGCAAGAATTAAAATAATGTATTATAAACGAGAGGTAATGACCTGCGGCCTGCAGAGGGCCCCAACCGCCTGACGATTGTTTTTACACATTACTGTGCGATCTAATCCTTGTTTAATAATAACCAAGCACCATTTCATTCAGAAGTCCACTTAATCTTTAATATTTGGCCATTTCTTTATGACAGAAATGCTATAGCCACTGTAATTTAATGAATATGTGGACATCAAAACGTGTAAACTCAGAGTGAGGGTTTGAGCTTTTATTTTATTTTTATTATTATGTAAATAAGTAAAGCACATATACTGTATCAGAACTGCATCGCATATAATTATTTAATTAAATCGTAGCGTTTGTGAATTCACAATTATGCTTAATTATTATTGGGTTTAATATATCACACAGCCTTGGAAAACAGTCTAATAATGTGTTTTATGGATTCTCGTCTGTGAAATGCGCCACTTCCGGTATTTTGCCGGTTAGTCGACGCGAGCAAAATGAAGTCGAGGATTTTTAAAAATCTAATAGTCGAATAAAATCGACGAATCGCGACAGCCCTAATCTGAAGTTAAATGTGACTTTCTTAAATCAGACCTTTAGCAGGGCTGCTCTGCTGAATGTAAGGATTTAACAAACCGGTTGTATGTTTGGCATGTGAGGTTGTTGAAATAATCGATATTTAGGTGTGGATGGATTGGAGTAGGGTTGGGCCGATAGACTATGCCGATGGCTGACAGACATCACGATGCTGAGCCCCCCGCAGTCCGCCGCATCCCAATACCGTGTTCCGAAAGAAAATGACACGCAATACGGAGTCCCTAAAGGGAATAAATATACGCGATGGGAGGAAAATATATATTTCAGTATTTTCTCTCGCAGTTATATCATTGGGCAATTATACTGTATATAAATTGCGGGCACCAGGGAGCCGCTATTATGCCTGGCATTGAAACTGCTTTTGAATGTGCGATCGCTTTTTAGTTTTTAGCTTTTTAGTAGGGATGCACGATATATCGGCCACCATATCGGTATCGGCCGATAAATGCTAATTTTTTCTGTTATCGGTATCGGCCTGATAAGCTGGAATGTGGATTTTACCCCCAGAATGTGATTTTTACAGGGGAACCCTCCTCGAAACGTGATTGGACTAGTTTTATTGCGAAAACCTGGCAACCCTGTTCATAGGCGCCACCTCCTGTCAGATAGTGCGTCTCATTCAGTTCAGACCACCAGACCGAAAAATTATATATTTTGAAATGTTAAAAATCGTAGCTTCATCAGAATGAGATGACACTTGGTGACTTTTGTTGCATTAGCTATGTAAACGCACACAAAAAAAAAAAAAAATCATGCACATGATTCGGATATGTTAAAGGGTCAAAAAAAAAAGTGTCACACTTGGCTCATTCCCGGTCAAGAATGACCGACATAGGAAATGAATGGGAAATACAAAAAAATACAACTCCGAGAATCTTTTGGTGGTACAAACTACAAATCGACCACTGTGCAGGAAAAAAAGTGCACAGCAATCAAGAGGTGACACTGCAAAATAGACACCGCACACACACACACACACACACACACACACACACATACATACAATGTTTGATTGTAATCGTAATGCGAAACCTGATATTTATCTAACCAAAAATATCTAAACCTTGACATAAAGTAGTCTTTTAGACTGTCTAAAAATATATCTAAAAGCAAAACCTAATAAAATACAGAAAGTATGTCTAAAAAAACAATGGGAATCCATTTATGGAAAAATTATAATTAAATAACTAGATAAAAGTATATTAATTCTTGTTGGGAAAAATTGCTAATTAAAACTGTATAAATTGCATAATATCTTAAAATCCCCTCAAAATTCTAAATGTTATTGAACAAAAATGTATTAAATTGATTTTCCTGAAAAAAAAGAAGTTACACGACTGCGACGGAGCCAAGTGTGACTCCCAAACGAAGAGGACCAGAGGGTTAAAGCATTTTCAGTTTGTGTATGCTTGTCCGTGGCAGACTGTGTAGAGCTGACGTGTAGATTTGAACTTGGTTTGGTCTTCATGCTGAAGTGATCGTGCAAATTCATTTCTTTATTTTGACTGATAATCAGTGTGCCGCCCCGTATCAGCATGCCAGATAAGCTCACTTATGAATCGTGCGGTTGGTTGGTATGCCAAGATGGATCTTCCCACAGCTCACTATACTTCACGTTCGGATATCACAGCCGTTAATAAAGCTCCCCGTAACCAAAGATATATTCGCGTGTTTGGACAAACTACTGCGCCTTTGATTGTGTCTGTGAGCTTTCGCATTTTCATTTTGTTGGATTTTCCTGGATGTTCCTGTGGTAAAACTCTCTTAAGGTGTGTGTGTGTGTGTGTGTGTGTGTGTGTGTGTGAGAGGGGCTTCCTCCGCAGGACTGTTGTGTTTGTACTCTCCGAGTTGATCATATAAAAAGAAACAGATGGAGCAAATATGGACACTAGTATCTAGCTCTGCTGTGTGGGGTGTTATGCAAGGACTTTGTTCTTCTAAATTCTGAGGAGTTGAGTTTATCTTTGAAGAGAGACTGACTGATCTAGTTCATGTGGATTTGGGTCAGAAAGCCTCGACTTAAAGAAGTGTATACTTGAGTTAAAATAAAAGTTCTGTTAAAAATAAAGTCCTCATTTAGGGGTGAATGGTATATGTATTACGTAATCATGTTGGTTCAATGTAATACTTTACCAATGATTTAATAGTTTGATGAATGTAAACCAAAAGATCAGATTGATTTCTCACATTATGAACACTTTAAAGCAAATGTACCTTGATTTTTTGACACACAAAGCTCATTGTACTATTAAAACATCCTGCAAACATGATCACTTTTTGTAGAAACTATAGCAGGAGCACTATATATTGATTAGTAACTTAATTAGGAAGTTAATTAGTTCAAGTGTTGGTGAAATGAATACTGTACTAGTGCTGGAAGTCTTGGACTTTATGGCTTTAGATATGAATTATGCTACGTCTGATTTGACTAGTTTCTTCATTAGTCT